CGAAACGTCAGCTAGCGTTGTATTGTATTGTGTTTTTATAGAAGTAAATGTATGCTGTTTAAAAACCTCGCGATTGCTGAGCAAGTATTTGAAATGTTTGACATAACGTTATAATTGATTTACATAGAGAACATTCCAATATTCGTGAAGAATGTTCTCTATACCCATTGTGATGTTCCTTGAACACTGTTCTGAGTTCAATCCTAGCATTAAATTTTTCAATGATTACTTTAAAAATATATGGTCTTCTTCTTGATTTCCGTGCGTAGAAGAAGAAGGTTGTCGAAGCTGGTATTGATTCATGTCTTTTATGGCGTAAACGCACGATTCCAGATATTAGCGGTTTGAATGAATCGATGTTAATGGCAGAACTCGTGTTGAAGAGAGTGCTCCTACTCCCTTATTTGTCGCATGTTAGGAGTAGTTCTTCTCCAGTATCACAAAAGGTTTCGATTGGGTGGCGTCCTCGCATCGGCCAATACGATGACGTCATTCCTTAGCGTTCTTATCTGCTTGATCAATTTCTCTGTGGAAGACTCAGATGCAAAGGAGCGTGCATTCTAGGTACATAGTACTCTGAGATTTAGGCAGCCTAGAATGGCCCTGAGATTTAGCTGCCTTTCCATACTCGTCCTCAGGATAACGAGCTCCTATTATTTTACTCTGTTTGGCTTTTCGATACCCACATATAGGTCCCTAACCCTCGAACGTAGAGGTGGGTACAACTACAGAAAGCTTGCCTTTTTCTTCCAGAGTGTACAGGGAAGCTTATTTGTTGGAAGCGACTCCTAACCGCTTCTCACATACTTCCCCGTCACTTGATTGCAGGATTTTGGTCGAACTGACTCGTAGAATACAATGCGCGCAAACGAGAACACACCCACGCACGCATGCATGAGTACGTATAGTGTTTTACATTAACTTGCTTATATGTGATTATAAGACTATCATTGTTCTCAGCTCTTTAAAACCGCCATTTCCATTTTCTTCCAAAGATTTTCCACACGTTGTGATCATTGTTACGACAGCTCGCGCCCAGTTCGGTATATCTGAATAAACCGAAAAAGAAGTAATCCTGACCATTATCTGTAATCCTTTACGAGACTGGAATCCTCGGAAAAGATATTGGAATTCGAAAATTGACCTAAATTCATTAAAGTCGTTTGTTCGGAGACCATGATGGGGATCGTAAAGAAAAATCAGGCACGATTTGCTGACGATTTTCTGCACATGATAAAGAATATCTAGACAACTCGTTAGTAGAAGGTGAGCCGCACAACGTCACCTAAATTTCGGGGTTGACTCACTCTTTATGAGAATCTGCACCACCACCTAAACCAAAGTGGAATAAATACAGCATCGAAACGTTCAAAAAAATTTTGCGTGAAAGTGGTAATAGAAGGAGATTTAGAAGGCCCACGGAGTGAGTAATCCTTTACGACACTGGAATCCTGAAGCAATTTGGTCTAGTAATGTTGTAGTCAGTTGTAGAAAAAAATGCAACGTCTTAGAGTGGTAAAGGACTGGATTATAAATGTAGTGCATAGCAGACGATGACGATGTTGATGTATAAAGAAAAGCACAAAGTATTCGGCGTTGCTCAGTTCGTTAGAGATGCGTCATGCATTTGATTTCATCAGGCATCTCAAAGGTGATTTAAAAGCACCCGGCCGATTCAACGACTTGCCGTGGCCAACCTATATACTACGACAATGGTGCTATACTTCCGGAGAAGTCTGGCTCCAACTTGGTAACCGCGGAGGATGGAGGAATAGAGCTCATAGCGCAAGGTCAAACAAGCCACCAATCTACGAACTATTGCAAGGCCCTTCAATCAAACCACTGCCTTTCACGAAACCAACCGTTTAACTGTCAAAAACATGGAGCTTACGACCGGACTTCCGCTAGAACTTGAGTAGAACCTCGTCTTCCATGGGCTTCTTGTCGAATTTTTTACCACTGTGAAAGTGTTTGTTCGTTTCGACGAAAACAGTTTGTTTCTTAAATTTGTCGTCGATTAGCTGGATATGGGTCAACCATCTAGAAGTGGCTCTTTGCTTCAATAACCTGCTGTTCCCTATTATTGCACCCAGCTTGGCTCATTCTTCTTTGTGAACTATGCGAACCACCGTTACAGCCTAACTCTTTCCGTCAAAGACTGTCGTCTCTGAAATATCGACGTGCTTACGTATTAGATGTTTCGTTCATTAGCGATGCTGCCTTTTTATCGTTCCGTATTATTCACTAGGCAAGTTTGATTCAATTGCAGTGACATGAAATGTGGTTCGGCAAGTCGGTTTTGTTTCTCTGATGTTCTTAATGAGCTATCACTTTCAGCGCTGAAGAAAGAGCGCTTTACGCAGGGATTTAACAAACGATTTCAACTTTTCGCGTGGAATGACGGCTAAGGTTTCCCATCTCGTTGTCAATGTTATACTTGTCTTGCTTCAACTAGTAGTGATCGTCTGCAATGGATTTATTATCTCCTTGCTGTCCAAGTACGCCTGACACTCGAACAGTACAGCTTTTTCTAGTGTTGAGTTTTGGAGATTGATTGCAGAATAATAAAATCTGCAGATATAGGTTTCATTCTGTTGAAGGCAGAAAACGCTTCGCCAGAGTTTTTCACGGTTGCTGGTGATATTTCTAACGATTACGGACTTTTTTCATACCGTGGTATGTAAGTCTATTTGTTTGATATTCAAACAACGCTATATAAAAAAGCCACTGTTAGCTGAGGTCCTGCTTTCAGCTCTTCCATAATCCATTTATCTTCTCTGCTCTTGGAATCCAGTCAATTTCGATCTAAATCTATACTATGTAATAATCGCGGGTGCTCCTTTTATTGGCCACCTGAAAATTAACCTAACTTTGACCGTATCTACTGCTATGGAGAGAATGCTGGTAGGTAATCTGTCAAAATCGCTTTCCCGTAAAGTGTAGGCTTCTTCAGACTCTGAGGTTCCCAGTCGTGTTTCGTAACTCATATTCCCTCTCGCATGCAGCTATCTGCTTGTTTGTCGGATTTTTACTTGGAGTATTCGATGTCATCCTAGAACTCTCACTTTCAAAATTCAAAAGCATTCCGGGCTGTGTGGTCGTTGGGTGTTTTCTGAGTACGAAACTCCTCTACTCTTGGGGAATCAGCAGCATGGTAAATTCGCTCTCTCTCAACACCATCTTAATATCATGTAATTGTTCTCCATCATTAGGCAATGGGCATTGTAATAATTGTTCTGAAGACTTTGATCCTCGTGAAGCTTCGAGCTATACATCAGCAACCACAACCGGCTGGCGCATTGGTGTCGAGAGAAAAGAAATTCAAACAGGTAGATTGCATTTTTCCCATTAATGGAATCCTATTATAGTTCTATTCTCGAATTTAGGCCAATCGCATTCGACTTCATTAAGCACCGTTTGGAGGTGATTAATGATTATCTGGCCTCTACAATTGCTCGCGATGGCCCACCGATGTATCAGGCCAGTTCTGCTAACCTCCCAGACAAATCTGGTGCCAATTTGCCGACCCCGGAAGGATGAAAGGCTTGGTGAGCCGTGGGCGCGGGGATCGAATCCACGTGTGTGTCGCCGCGGCGCCTTCAACCACTGCGCCATTTGCGTCCTTTGGATTAGGACTGTATAGGATTAATTTTTGAGCCGATCGTCATTTTACCTCAATAAAAGAATAAAGGATAAAGCTCTCAGTGTTGACCAATCCCTGTGGGATGCGCCATGCTTTCGACTTCATTATGCATGGTTTGGTGGTGATAGAATGCATATCTGGCTTTTACAATGACTCATAGTAGGTGGCCCACCAATGTATCGAGCCACTGCTGCTATCCTCCCAGACAAGTCTGGTATCAATTTGCCAACCCCGGAGGGATGGAAAGCTAAGTGGGCCATAGGCGCAGGGATCGATTCCACGTTTGTGTTGCAGGGCGCCTCCGACCACTTCGCTAGACCCGCCTCTATAACCTCGATAGTAATAATCAATTCTTTCTTGGATTAATAGGCTTACACATGGTTGCTACGCATGTTTTATTCGGCAAGGGTTTCGACGTCTTTGCGTTCATCAGAGCAGGTGATCCGAGTCGATGGTCCACAGTTGTTCGTCTTCTCGATGTGGCATCTTAGCCGTCGTAACGAGGCGGTTTTTCTTCAGTGGACCATCGCTCGAATGAGGCAATCTCACCCTGCAGCGGCCTTTTATACAGGACGTTTGTTATCGCTATGATTACTCGTTAGAAATAATTTGTCTTTCTATGTGCATTTATCTGTAAATCGCTGTTCTCTTGATTAGCGAACACGAGTATCCAACAGTTAATCGACTGTATCAACACTGGTGCCACTGATCGTCGAGTGACCCTATCGTGCGGCATTACACCTTTCGTTTCTCTCTGTCGTGTGAAGGATCATCTCTGCGAGTTCTGCTCACTTTAGGGCTCGTTGAGCACAATATCCTCCCTATAGGGTTTTCATTAAGAAGGAGAACTCGTCGGGCATCCTGCCTTTTTTCTGGGCTTTTCGTGAAGAACTCTGACCATCGGATCAGTGGTCTTCCTGCAGAACGTTTAACCTCTCGAGGAATCTAGTCACTCACGGCATTTATCCATTGATTGTCGTTCTCATGCACGGATCTGGCCCATGGAGCGATCTCATGTCTGCTAGTCGCTTAACAACGTGATGCGTCTCCAGTAGGCGGATTGGTGGCTAATCGGTAACTAAAAGCGAACTTTGCTTCCTTGAGACGTAGATGGATCATGGAGATGGAATCCTCGCTTCTACCACGCCGATTTGAGACATGCCTTCTATGTTCACGGAAGCGTATTCGTGCATGCGTGTGTGGGTGTGTTGCCGTTTATGCGGGTTTTGTTCTACGAGTCAACTTGACCAAAAGCCGGTAATCAAGGGAAAAAGAAGTATATTGGAGGCGGTAGGGAGTACAGCGTTTTATAGCTGTACTTACATCATTTGAGATAAAGGGTAGGATATAAATATATATATATATATATGTAACGTATATATATGTATGTGTTTGTATATATATGTAAATATGTATATGCATGTATATATATATACATATATATAAACTCTCTTGCTGTGTTAATGCGAGGTTGGTATATGTTGCTGCTGCTGTGGCTTGATAGCTGACCTTCTGGATAAATTGCAAAAGTCCATGGATGAACCGGAAAGGGAAACGCCCTACGATCACACGTGCCCTGGCACCTTTTTTCAGATTGATTACTTGACCTCTGTGGGTCCTGCTCATCCATTATCCCACGTAAACAGTACACGGGTGGTTTCACACGCAACAGCACTGAGTAGCTTTTAAACAAAATCGCGTTCATTTATATGTTAGATCTTCGTTAGGGCTACAGAGATTACACTGAATTATAACGCTGTTGTTCCATAGAGTACGTCTAGATTCTGAGGAAAGCGAAGTGGGCAAAGCATCTGCCATTGAACGACAACAACAGCATGAACGACAACTTATACCAACCTCTCATCGACTCAACAAGCGCAGTTAGTAAAAATATAGATACAAATGTGCGGTTGTTTTTGAGATGGTGAAGTAAGCTGGTTCATCGCGTCACTTCTAACTCTCCACGATCATACTGTGCGCTTGTGAGAATCATGTATCTAATAAGCACAATTCTGTGCCGAAGAAGAAAGCAGAATGAGGTACCATTCAACTTTTCGAAGCAAAGAACCTGTCCAATGTCTACGAACCTGTTGCTTCCCGGAAAATATTTGAAGGAGTATCCTCGCCCCCAAGTGCTTGACAAAAATGAGGACCCGTCTTGGCCGTCCTTAATTTATGGAGTGAGCGCAGCCACAAAAGGATGTGTTAAGGGAGGAGAAGTTGATAACTATAGTTAAAACCAATACAACTGAAGGAAACAGCTTGTATGACTGTCTATGTACACTTCAAAATTGCGCAATTTGCCACTGAGTTAGAGAGCTAAGTGAGAGGGAAGGGGGTAAACAATGCAAAGAAGTTTTTCTGCTGATCGTGTTATTGCGATTTAGGTTTTCATCTTTCTGTATGTGTTATCGGAGTGTTTGACTTAGTAAATTGCTTATCAATATACCCTTTCAGACTCTGAAGAAGACGAAATCCGCCGAAACGTTAGCTTTAACGGACTAGAGAATAAAGTAACACCTCGTATTTGCTCAACAAGAATATCGAAAACCAAAGAAGTTCATCGATTATTGCCCCCGTGATCAGGTGAATGTCGGTTTGGTACAAATTACCTTACTATAAATATATTCTGTAATTATATAGCAGTGCTATAATTATAACTTGATCACAAATCTCAGTTATTTTTTTCGACGGATGGCACAGCAGTTTTTTTTTACGTGTCGCCACCATTCTCTGTAAAAACTATGTCAGTAGTCAAGTGCTGCCCTTGTTGGAGTGACGCAAGGTTAGTATCAGTTGCTTGTCGTGAGCTGGCGACTGATATTTCGGCTACTTCTCCCTCCTCAGAGCCTGGACATCCTTGATGTAACAATAGCCTTATGACTCCATGTATTAGTAATGTATAAGGAAATCTGTAGTACTAATGCCCAGTTAAAATATAAATGAACGCCACTTTGTCCAAAAAACAACGCGCCGTGTTGTTGCCTGCAGAACTACCCGTGGGTTGACGAGTGAGACTCAACTGAGTCAGGAAATTAGTTTGAAATAAAGCGCCAGGCCACGTGTAATGGTGAGGCATTCGTCTTTCCGATTCATCTTTGGATTTTTGAAATCTCTCCAAAACGCCTCAAGAGTTTTGTCCAATAAGATGTCTCCTCAAAGTCTCTAATAGCACTAAAATTATAAACCACAGTTGTAAACTACAGTTGTAATTACGCTATAGTTTAAAGTTGTAATTCGTAATGAAGAGGCATAGCACAGTGGTTAGTGAAGCCGTCGTTCAGGAAGCTAAGCCGCTAATTCGTTTCCTGCCCACACGCTCTAGTCCAATACACGTGAGTACGTCTTAGCCCAGCTGTCTCCAAGGTTCCGCAAAAAATTGACTCTAGCAACGTCCTACGGCATTCATAAAGAAGACGAACTCCTTAAGTAGCAACTGAAACAAGACGCGAGATGTTCGAAGACTGCTGCGGACGATGAATGCTAGAAAACGAATCGAATGCAAGAGGTGCCGGAATCCACACAGCAGCTGTGATAACGGGTCACGTGACAAAAACATATAATTCTTAGTTGTGATCACCAGTTTTCTAACATGTTGGAATACACTCAACCAAAGGCTACCAGTTCTGAGAATACCTTTCGTTAGTATTTGTTTATATTGTTGAGCTTACACGAGGTTGATAGAGGTGTCTATTCGGGTAACGCTCCGACGTCATCGTCTTCATCTTCTGCTAGCCAACAAAATACCGACCGATGCAGGATGGATTAGCCGTTGAAAAACAAATTGTTATAAAAAAAAAGGATGAAGCTCTCAGCGATGACCAATCCCTTAGCGATGTGCCATGCATTCGACTTAATTAAGCATCGTCTAGAGATGATTGAATGCATATCTGGCCTTTACAATAACTCTCAGTGGCCTACTAATGTATCGAGTCAGTGCTGCTATTCTCCTAAACACGTCTGGTACCAATTTGCCGACCCCGGAAGGATGGAAGGCATAGTGGGTCATAGACGCAGAGATCGATTCCACGTGTGTGTAGTGGGGAGCCTCCGACCACTGCGCCACACACGCCCTAACAAATTATTATCAACGGATAATCATATCAACAACAACCGCCGTGCACAAAAGAGCGTCGCCGAGTGAGTATGGTTCATTCGAGATGCTCAACTGAACAAGATCCGCTTCGATGCGAGGCGAAGACGCCACAGAGAGAAGAGGAACAACTGTGAACCATGGACATGGACCGCCGGCTCCGATGAAGAAAAAGACGCCAAAAACGTTATCCGAATAAGCTTCTCTATCAACCTTGTGCAGGCTCAACAATATGAACAAAATGTTATACCTTTTTATTTTCTGTCTACTATAATTTCGCGGTAGGGTACTAAGCGAAATACAACCACAACGTTGCTGAGATATTTGCAAAACTCTGGGCCGCAGGTGTCCATGGTGGGGAACGAACGCGCTATTATCCTTTCCGGGGAGTAACGCGTTCACCACCACACCATGCGGGTCCTTTGTATCCGGAAAGGATAATAGCGCGTTCGTTCCCCACCATAGACACCTGCGGTCCAGAGTTTTGCAAATATCTCAGCAACGTTGTGGTTGTATTTCGCTTAGTAACTTGCCATGAAAATTATAGAAGGCAGAATACAAAACGTTAAACATTGTAACTATTTGTTTTTTGG